CTCTCTCTCTCTCTTTCTCTCTCTCTCTTATATTTATGAAAAAAAAAAACTATTGATGGGGATCCCTGCCCCCATGCCCTCCCCGTATATCTACAATTCGGTATTCAAATTGAGATGGCAGCATATAAAACATTATTTTCTGGAATAGTATAGGCGAGTGAGATAGACCTACTAGTTCAACGATTACAGTGCAAAAAGTCGTTACTATGGTAAACAAAAAACACGATTTTATAATATCGTTTATTTCAGTGAGATCGTTCAACATGGACAATAGGCACACCGTTGCAATCAAGTTATCCGTTATAAATGCGAGCAAGAGACGAAATACAAACGTTTTGATATTATGTCGTTATTGTGTGCTTCATACGAGCGTGGCTCATCCTTTATTTAGATTTATTTGTCAGCACAATTGAAATTATAATGTTAACCATGTAGAAACATGTACATCCGCTGTTTTTACATGCGATCAGGTAATCATAGATGTAACAATCGCATTGTGGTCATCCGTTGTCATTCATACAACGTATCAAACGATTCATAAAAGCTAATTGCAATTTGATATATTCACAAATAGTTATTAGACAGAATAAACAGAATTTTCACTATTTATTTCATATGTTTATTTCTTTATTATATTTCAAGACTTTATTTTATTTTATTTTATTTTATTTTATGTTTTTTTGTTCATTCATTGCATCTCCGGTCTGAGCTGCTGCTTTGTCAAAAGAGGGCGCACTTTTATATCATTACTGCCTGAACATTTATTACCCTTGAAACAAAAACAAAAACAAAACAGAACAAAACAGTCGATTATCTAAAATTATATCCTCTCAAACTGGAAAAGCTAGAATGACAAAACAAAAACATAAAAACACCGCTTTCAAATATATGGTAAACTACTATCAATTTCAACGCGATCGGAGATACAGAACTGTAGACCTAAACTCTCTCTTGTTTTCCTATTTGAGGTGGTAACCGCGTATAAAGATCGCAAGCCAGTATTGATGCATAAAACCTTTACAATTGAAATCAATAAATTAGCTCAGTCCTTCTTTTATTCTTCCGTCGAAAGTCTTTTGTGGGGGACAGGTTCTCAATTGATTATTTTTCTCCCTAGATCTTATATTACCCGTGTACTAAATAATCCAGGGCTAAGCTTTGTTGACAATTTGTAGAACAGAGAAACAAACGAATGCACGAAATATAGGATATTCATTGAAGGCAACGGTTTCGCGAAATAGTTCATGAATTATGCAAGAAATTTGTGAGATATGAAAACGCTCAAGTTCTTTGACGACGAGTGTAATATAATGATGGGCATAAGTTATAAACGCCTTTCAGAGAAACACGCTTCATGTTGTAGCAGGTCATTACTTGCAAACAAATATTTTGAATCTAAGATACTTTGCTACGAATGACAAAGAAGATCAATATTTGGTTATGCCATATCACAAAGCTATTTGAAATACAATAGTTTATAAATTTGATGAATGGTTATTAGGAAACTGAGCTGTTGTGAAAGTACATCACATTACTGTATAATGTATATATCATATCATTAATCTGTCGACTTTTATCACAGTTTCTTTAATATTCTTTTAAGTTATTTGAAAATGGCAATCCATACCGCTTGGAATTGGCCTAATATATCATAGAACAAAAAAAGTGTTGGTCTATATGATTACATATTATCTTCAAGAACATACCCATCCCTGCTCCTCGTAGCCGGGAGCCACCGGGGAGAGCTTATACCGACGTTTGCTCGGGGAAACGGTGCTGTTTGTCCGCCTCGACTCCGGGACTTGCAGAAATTGAGACATAGTCCAATCTTTCTTGAATTAGTTATCGTTCTCCTTTCTTGGATATCAACTTGAAATCCTCACATGAAAAGTATGTATTTCAATGCCTTCACTCGCTTGACGTTGTTACGGCGTACACAGCTGCTTTGTGTACAGTTAATAAATGTCGAACACGATATATTTCCGTACAATAAGAAATTTCTATGAATAAAATATGATCTGTAGCACGGGCGTCTTATCATTTCCATAATTGGCCTACATTCATCATCGGTTTATTAGTCTCTCCTTTCGGTGCATTGTAGACATTGAGAGTTAAAAGCTCGTAAAACACGAAACGGCCGTTTCCAGTCGTACAAACAGGTGTCGTGCACTTGAAAATACTCTGTTCGCTTGTGACACACGAGTTTCCAGTCGAAGTAAAGAGCGAATGGAAGAAAAAATATTGTTTGTAGTTACCGCTCAGTTGCTATTTGTTTAGGTGCATTTCACGTTTGATGATCCATCGATAACAACGTGCCTAAAACACAATTTCAATTTTAGATAATCCTAAAACGGTGCTAATATTTAATGAGATCATAAATCAGGCACGTCACGTTGAACTATATCTACAATAACCAAGTCCGTTGTATGTGTGCTAGTGTAGGGGTGGCAGATATGTCAAGAAAAGGGCTTTTTGTAAAAATCAATATATCGCCATTGGGGTATTGTTGGGCCAAGTAAAGCACAAGACGAGAACCGTGGCGTATCCGCGCTTTGGTTCAAGGGAGGGGGTACTATGATAGGAAAGACACCGCTTATGCGGCACATGATTTGCTTTACGGTGTTGGTATCTCCAAAATATATATTTGTATATTTAGTTGGGAAAGATAAGGGTATTTAAACCTGAATTGATGGACTGAAAGATTGAAAGCTTAAAGCATACCACAGTGCACATTTCTATTCTATGCGAGTGACCAAATATTTGCTGATTTGTTTTTGTTAAAGATATTTTTTAGGCATGTATCTCTTCTTATTTCGTGCACATTTTAAAGAGGAAACGTAGAGTAGCTTCAAAATGAATCCCTTATCCAAAACATAAGACTATGGCTGCATTTTTCCCTTCTTGGTCTTAAATCTGTTAAGAGGGGCAAATCCCCCCCCCCCCTGCCCATCTTTTAAATACGCCAGTAGTCTGGGTTGAAGAGGAGTGAATGGGAAAACACCTGTCTCGGAAATGTACAGGAATGGAATGCATGGCGATGAAGGCAAAGGAAATGCGCCTATTTGTAGAATGAAAAGCTGTTTGCTTTAGGCCATTTTCGTCATGTAATCAAAATGATGCACAAATCTTCGTTAAGTGCCTCGTTACAAATTTGTTCACTCACCTGTTATATTACGAATAATTCCATTGCAATAGGCAGACTGCGCATAGATTACGTGTTGTTAGGTTGGACAAGCTATACTGTTTGTCCTACCTAGCAACAAGCAACAAAACAACAAATATTTGTGCATTGCGTTTGATAACATTAATACAATGCTCTACTCTGTACCGAAAAGATAGATGGATTAATCGGGAAATGCAGAGTGAAAGAGAGAAGGGGGGAGTACAGAGTAAAAGAAGGTGAAGAGGAGAAATAGAAGTGAGAGGGGGAAATGTGAGAGAGGTTAGAGAGAGAAAGAGTGAGAGAAAGGGGGAGGGAGATGAGAGAGTGAAGGAGAAATTAAAGTGGGTGATGATAGGGTGAAAGAAAGAAATGCAGAGAAAGAGAAAATAGAGAGAGAGAGAGAAACTAAAGAGAGAGAGAGAGAGAAAAAAAAAGACAGGGAGAGAGAAAAGGAGAGAGGGGAGGATTGTATAAATGAAAGAGACAGGGAGAAATAAAAGGGAAAGAGAGAGAGCACGAGAGAGAGAGAGAGAGAGAGAGAGAGAGAGAAAAAAAAAAGACAAGGAGAGAGAAAAGGAGAGAGGAGAGGATTGTATAAATGAAAGAGACAGGGAGAAATAAAAGGGAAAGAGAGAGAGCACGAGAGAGAGAGAGAGAGAGAGAGAGAGAGAGAGAGAGGGGAGAGAGAGAGAGAGACAGAGAGAGAGACAGAGAGAGAGAGAGAGCGAGAAAGAAGAGACAGAGAAACAGAGAAAGGTTGAAAGAAAGGAAAAAAGATGTAGAGACGAAGGGAGACGTGCCCCAAATAAAATGGCCAAAAACAAAAATGAGAGAGTGAAAAAAAGAAATGAAGACAGGAAGACAGATACAGACGGAGAAAGACAAACAAGGAATTGGGAAAGAGAACATGAAAAGCACATAAAGGTTTTTTTCAAAGAGAGTTGGGGTTATAACGCACCTTGCCATCCGTTCTTGTAGACAAGTGTGTTTATGTCTTTTAGATGATTTTATTGTGAATATTCTTTTGATGTCTTTCGTTATATCCCTAGTGAAAAATGTTTATAATCTAACTATAATTTTCAGATATTTCATTTTGTAATAAAAACCAATGTTTAAAGTATTTTGTATTATTATTTTGATTGAATAATAATAATAGGCATTTTTATAGCGCCGTCTATCTAGAAATTCTATTCCGAGGCGCACTAATTATTACGCTGGCTTTAGCCTAGCTGCCATTACAGCGCTCCAGCATTTCAAGGAATTAATTTACCAGTTCACCTCACCTGGGTCGAGTGTGGCAAATGAAGATTGCCAAATGACATTAGTGCCATGTCGGGGATCGAACCACGACCTGTGATGTGCATTGAGCTTCAAACATATTCTAGGATTATTCTCTTTTCTTCTAAAAGTCAATGATAACACAAAATTCAAATAAAAGGCACCAAAGCCTCTTAAAGGATGTATTGGAAGAAAGAGTGGAAGTAAGTAGACCGAGAGGTAGACCTAGAATCAACTGGGAAGAGAATGTCAAGAACTGGAGAGGACTAAAACTGCAAAAGTGCACCAGAATGGCAGAAGATAGAGTGAAATGGAGAGATGTTGCAATCAACCTCCGAACCGGGAGAAGATACTTAGATGGATAGATAGATAGCTTTTAAACCAATCGACTAAAACACTTCTTTATATTGAATTTCACGTATTGTATCTGATCAATATTTTGTATCTGTGATATGAGTTAATAATGGTAGACCCCTATGGAAATAACATTTTGCTGTTAGGGTGATCCATCCCGTGAGAGGGAGAAAACAAAATGAATAAAAGTAATGATTGAACTCACCATTCGATGGTTCGATAACCTGAGTATAGCGGCCTTTCTCTTCTGATGAAGCTGTTTAAAATGAGAGTTAGCTTCTAACAGGGCTTTCTGACGACGCCATTGTTTTCTTGCTTTCCCGATGTTCATTGCTTCTGATTTTCTTTGGGAATGAGCTGCTGATAATTTAATGATAATATTAATGATAATGTTAATAATGTCAATACTACTATAACTTCTACTACTACTACTATACTACTTCTAATAATACTACTACTGATACTACTATACTACTACTACTTTTGTGTACTACTACTACTACTTCTACCACTAATATAATACTACTATCACTAGTACTTCTACTAAAGATAACAATGATAACTACAAGTACTACTAGCTACTACTAATAATCATAATAAAGATGACAAAGATTTTGTTTGTGATGATGATGGTGATGATGATGATAATGATGTTCGTGTTGATGATGGTGATGGTGGTGATAATTGTGATGGTGATGTCGATGATAATGATGGTGATGATGATGATGATTTTTTATTTGATTCATTTATTCTACAAATTCACAATAAAAACATGATACGCAACATGATATAAATAGACATTTAAAACAAACAAAATATATAATGTAAAAAATAAAAGAAGAAGACCAAGATGATAGTTATAATATTAAATATATATTGTGTAGTGAGGAACACGTGACTAAATGATGATGATGATGACGAAGATGATGATGATAATGATCCTCATTGTAGCCTTATGCAACATTTGGCAAACAAATCAACAATTCAAGAATGAATTCTGACCACTGTGCTCTTACCTCTAAAAAATATCGCAATCCTCATTTATGGCTTCCACCTTTAAACCTTTTTATAGCGACCAATGACTAACTTTGCTTCCTCCATCAAAACGCCTGCTTCTAATAGTGACCATGATGACCATATACCTTCTACGCCGATATGGCTGCAGAATCCAGAAATCGGTTCCCTAATTCCGCTTCTCTCATTCAGTGGTAAGAGTCTGTTTGAAAAGGAACGAAGCCGAGAAAAATCACCAAGTTTGATCCGTTTCATCTGAAGAAATGTCAAGTCAACAATGACACTAATGCTCGTCCGTTTTCATGAATTTAATTCCCGGCGATAAGTATTGTGCGTTAGATGATGTCTATGTATTTGAACATAATTATTTAGCAGAGAAAATCACTTTGTTTTATTCCTTTTCATCTGAAAAAACGTCAAGTCAACAATAACACTAATGAACGTCTGTTGTTATCAATTCAATTCCAGGTAATACGTTTTACTTTGGCATCATCCATCTGTTTGAAAATGAGAATCAGAGAAAACCTCAGTCATGATATCCGTTCTTCCATCTGAAAAAAGTCACGTCCATAACGGACTCTAACGCTCGTTCAATTTAATCACTTTAATTCCAGATGATCTGCATTTCATTATGCGATCATCTATCACTTTGAATATGAGTATCAACAGAGAAGATCACAAAGTCTATTCATTTTCATCAGAAAAAATCAAGCCCACAATGATATTAATACTCGTCCAATTTCATCGATTTCATTGACTCCAAACAAAACGTATTTGCATTCGGTGATATCCCTCGGTTTGTGAATGAGTACCAGAGCAAAATCACGATGTTCATTATTTCCATCTGACAACTTGTCAAAGCCTTCGTCATGTTTTCAAGGATTCTTGTTTGGTTCCATCAAATTCATTCAAAATCAAAAACCATGCAGACAATGTTTGTGGATGATTCCCTTGTATATGCTCCCCATGTAAAAGAGAGAAATCCCAGACAACATGTAATGCCTGTAAGCAAATACTATACACCATTGATTGCATGTTTAAGGAAACGTTCGAATATGCGTTTATTGAATATTGACCAAAGAAAATCGATGCGACTTCGGACGGTCGACAATTCCAGATATTTGTAGTGATTCGAGGATCGATTTTGGACACTTGATAGTTGATGCGGTGCTCATCATTATGCGTGAATCTCATCATGAAAACATGTGTGAATCCACCGGAACGGGGGTGGGGGGGGGGGGGGGGGGGGGTGAATGGTGGGTCAAACGCATTCTGTTATTTCTCTCAGCATAAATTATGGGTACGAAAAAAAAAATTCAATCTGTCTTTCTCTACAGGCCTACCAGTTGATCTTTCTTTCTCCGCTTCACTGTGAAGAAAACGGTGGGAAGTTGAATTTGTCGTGAAAAGTGACATAATAGCGGATTATGGCGAAAAGCGCTCTCTTTTTTGTCGTTGTCTCTGTCTGTCTGTCTCTTTGTCTGTCTTTATCTCTGTCACTGTCTCTCTCTCTCTCTCTCTCTCTCTCTATCTCTCTCTCTCTCTCTGTCTCTCTCTCTGTCTCTCTCTCTGTCTCTCTCTCTCTCTGTCTGTCTCTCTGTCTCTCTCTCTCTCTCTCTCTATCTTTGTCTCTGTCTCTCCTTCCCCACCCCCTTGCAAAATCCTGGAAATGCCCTAATATGACATCGAATACCGTACATTTTACCCTTTAAACAAATCATGTAGGCCTACATGTATGCTTGGGAGCCGCCCTGTCAATAATTAACCCTGCTCCGTTAATCATGTCGCTATCTCATTCATGCCTTTCGTATAATAATTGATGAAAGCTTTCAATCCATTCTCACATTGGGATGTTTTCGGTTTCCATAACAACTAATTATGATATACACTGGGATATAATTAATATATGGATGCCATAACAGAGTGCATGGTGGTGAGTCTATACTACGGCAATCAATGCTTCCTATCTGTGGAGTGTTACAAGCGCGTAGCCAGAAATTCATTTTAGGGGGGGGGGGCGGTAGTGAGCACGCAAAGCGTGCGAATCACTTAAAGAGCGCGCGTAGCGCGCTCCCTAGGGGGGGGGGGGGTGGGTGCAGGGAAAGCTTTGAAAAAAGACGATTCGTTGTGCCTTTCTCGACTCATAATCCTTGTCTGAATTCAGTCCCCCTCACGCGCGAAGCGCGGAAGTTTTGACGTTTCATTAAATTATTAGAGAAAGAAGACGATTCGTTGTACCGTTCTCGTCTCCTTTCCCTTTTTCTTCCTACGTCCTCTTACTTTTTTTCTTCTCTTTCTCTCTCTTTTTTTGTTTGGCCGGCGTTTTTTTTTTTTTTTTTTTTTTTGGGGGGGGGGGGGGGGGGGGGGAGCGACCGCCCCCACCGCCCCCCTGGCTACGCGCCTGGAGTGTTAAGGCCTCTTTTCATATCAGTCCTCAGTACGTCGATGCCCTGTTTTTCCCCCGAAAGTTCATAATTCCGAAGGGTTCATTAGTCCGAATGTTCGTATTTCTAAAAAATTATATAGGGTTCATAATTCCGAAAATGAAATGGGGTTTGTTATTCCGAAGGTCGATCATTATTTCGATGATGACATAATATCATTTATCGTTTTTTTTTTCTCGGAATAACGAACCCTATTTCATTTTCGAAATTATCAACCTTCGGAATGACGCAACAAAAGTGTTTTGAACTAGGAACCCTGTTTTTATATTTTTCAGAATTATGAACCCCCTGGTATGGCAAGTTTGTGTTTCAGAATAAGCCTACGAACCTTCAGAAAAACGAGTGCATCCAGTACGCCGATCACAGGAGAAGCAATATAGGCCTACATGGACGAATTTCACAACTATAACCTAAACAGCTAAATGCAAATTATGTCTGTTTGTGCAAAAATTTGTTTTTCAGAAATTATTAAAGGCCTAATATGTTATTATCCGTCAGAGACAGAGGGCGTTGCTACCCGAGCGCCGTGAGCGAAAATGTTGCTGGATTTTCTTGTTTTTAGTGGTGATTTTCAAGTATTACTATCTACCTTACTAAAGCCTTCTACATTTAGTTTCTCCCTTCTCTTCGTCCGTCTTTCCTCTTCTTTTCCTTACTTCTATTTTGACCCATACATTTTACATGTCTCCTAAATGACTTCATTCGGTTTCTTTGAGTGACATGGGAGTTAACCTACATAATAAACACGAAACATTTTTCTACAAAGCTTCTCTAAGTTATCGTTTGTTCGCATGCATGACTAGCGCCAAGCAAACACTGTGCACTTAAGTTCAAAAGCATAAGTTCTGTTCGTCACAAGTAATTTATTATGGTTTCCGTCTCCAACTCAACGCTAATAAAGAGAATGTTATACGGTAACGAAAAACTTACCTTTAAAATTTTCACACTTCAAATGACACGACTAGCTTAGTCGTGTAAATCCAAAAGTTCAGGTCATAATAAGAACTTGATATATCTTTCTCCAATCAATAGCCGCTTTTAGGAAGTCATTAAGTCACTTTGGAACAGGTAGGAATCTTAAAAGAATGTCTCAACGAGAAGGGGTATTTGTACACCCCTCTATCACTGGTATAAGGAATCCGTGTAATGAGAGAGGTTCGTTAAGCGGTTTGTTTGTTTTCCCCGATAGAGCAATGTTTGGTCACCTTTCTAAAGCTTCTGTAGTGCTTCCAAAGTTTGCTTTACCCCAAACAGATGACAATTAAGGGGCAAACATTCGGATGAAGTTGTTTGGGTCCGGCACAATTACCATGTTTATCTCCAAACTCCAAGGCAGTCATTTTGATAAACTGGATTTCCAAGATAAAACGATCAAATTAGAACATGAAAAGTAAACAAAGAATAGAAACCGAGTTAATATTTCTCTCAAAAATGATTTTAGTGATTATGACACTTTGAAACAAAGAAATATAGAATAATCAACTCCTTTTCTTTCATTTATTATTATTACTTTTAATTATCTCCTTTTTTCTCCTATTAAAACAGCTTTCCTATCATGCCTTTTTGAATAGCAATTTATTTTTTGGTGTGATTATGAATGACCCTTTTCTAAAATTATGAATAGCGGTCCTGGGGAATAGCGAGCGGACCCCTTTATCATCATCACCTTCATCATCATCATTAATTTTTATTATTATTCGTTGCTACTTCTATAACAATTAGGTCTAAATCTCTATGTATCACATGTTCAACACTCATGTACAGCCAATATTGAAAATATTGTAATCACAATATAGAGTACTGAAATTAGACATCATATTGCAAAGTTGTCAAGGTTGATGGTTCCAAACAATTTCGTGCTCCACAATGGCATGGTTATCACACCAACGCCGAACTCGCCCTGCTCCAGCCCGTTGCTTCAATGATTTTATGGTGAACCTCATGTGCTGAGCCTGTTGTTTGGAACCAGGAACTTCGACAACGAGTAAATATGACGTTTAATATCATTTCGGTACTCTCTTGCATGCTGAGAGTTAGAAGGGTATTACATCTGTGACCATAAGAGTATTAACAACAAAAGGACTCGTGCCACAATATTATTCTCATAATTTCCTTTAATAATAAAAAATATATGTTATTCATAAATTTCAATTATATAAAAATTACAAATTTGTTAAGATTAAATCTCTTTTTCTTTTAGTTACTACCGTATATTGCTCTAAGAACAAATAGAAACATAAATTTGTAAAGATAGTCCACAATACATCTACTAAATAAACAAATTGAATGTAACAATTTTAACTTTTAGTAAATATTTCAAAACTTCAGTGTAATATCAAGAATAAAATCAAATGACAAAAGATAATATAATACAGCTAAAATGACTAAAACGATGAGGATTGAATACATACAGTAGATACAACGTTGATGCATGAGCATCGTATAAGAAAAGACAGAACTTCATTTGGTCTAGGATTTCTCTTATATTTTCAGGAAATCCATATCTATAAGAAACTTACGCCTTGGAATTGTGATTATAAAAACCTAATAATGCATACACTGTTTTCTAAATGTACTCTACAATCAAACTTTAAAGACTGTCAATACTACTGGGCCAGAAGGGATTAGACCACACAGCGAGGTCACTGACAATGGCTATCTCATTAACTCAGCTCTCAACTCACATAAGAAAAAGAGGATCATGGGGGACCAACAGGCACCTATTGGGGAAGTTTTCTATATAGAAGGAGCAAGTAGATACAAGTAGGTCAGTGGGGCTTTAACATAAGCTTGCCAAAGATTCTTTCAAGATGCAAGCATATGACTGGTAGACCTGCTAAACTTTTATATGATCTAATTGGAATATTGAAGTGAGACAATCAAGAGAAAAGGCACATTTCAAAGAAAACCTGCTCAGTATTCATAATTCCTATTATGGCAATTTATGTCAGGTGTAAATACAAACAATATTTCTTCCACATCATCAGGGATTGTAAAATATATTTCGATACTTCAGGCAAGGATGATTTATCATTAATGACAGGAATATGCAAGATTTGATACATTTTCATGCTTTCACTTTCTTTATAAATAATCAGCAGAACATATTCATGCGTTCTGCATCACACACTTTAATATAATATCCATTTAATGTTTCAAACATGGCAAGATAACCAAGAATAAAGAAAATTATTTACTGTCATGTACTTTTCACGAAGAGTAATAATCATGTAGACTTCTCTTTGTACATGTTAACTGGTGATCTTTTGGCTTGCATCCAGTTTGCCTTTCCAAGAGGGTTTTGCGTAGGTTTATGAGCACTCACATCAAATAATTTTATTGGCATTTAAAAATGTGTGACCTTTCATATGGCTAAGACGTAAAGCCTGTCTGCACTAGTTCGGCCAGGAGGGATTAGACCTCCCTTCATGGTCACTGGCAGGTGGTTATCTCATCAAATCAGCTCTCAATTAACATAAGAAAAAGGGGACCATGGGGGAATCAACAGATACTGCTTAGGCATTGTTGATTTGTAGTAGCTACAAGTAGTGCAGTCCCGCTGTAAGGGAAGAAAGAGGTGAAGAGTTGGCCCAGTCTGTAAAGCGTCTGCCTATCGAACTCAAGATTGCGAGGTCAGATCGAACCCAGTTGGGTGACTGAAACCTTTGTTGTAATTTTAATAATGAGCCCCTCCAATGTTTAATTTATGCAGCCAGGCTACGTAACAGTGGAAACCACTCTGTCCCTTGGCTGGGATGTTAAACAGAAGCCCCGTGTGGAGGAGAGCCACCAAATTTGCTCATTAAAAATCCACTGTACTCTTTGTTAAAATGTAGGAGAAAACCCTGGTGAAGTGGTCCACCTGCACAACCCAATCAGTAATGCTGGGAAGAATTCATTCCCCTCTCCCAGGCAAAGGCGATACCGAATAAAGAATAAGCAGAGGTTATTTATATTATGATGTATGTAGCATCAGACATTAATGGTAAAATATTCACGATGTGATTTTTCTTCCTTCGTTAGAGAAATAATTTTTTGATATTCCTGGAAAAGCAATGCAAAAGAATACAAAAATTTATGTATAAACATGTATGACTATAAAGAGGATATTCCCTTTTGTTACATTTGTGCAAATTCTGTACAATATACATGTATGGATTCTGAACTCAACACGGTATTACATTGATAGACTTATGTCGGTGATATTAAATAAGCTTTAATGGCAATGTACAGGAACAGTGGCTAAG